CTAAGAGAGAATTTTTTTTTTCCCTTTGGGGAACTCATTTCCTAGAAGCTTGGATCCAGGAGAGAATATGCAAGGTGGGTGGAGGTGGCTTCTCTCCATTCTGCGGGAACACATGTTCCCTGGCACACGGAGCGAACTATGACAGACCAAAATGTGAGCGTGTGTGTAGATCCATATACATAGAGCTGAAAATAAAAGTAATCTATTTCCTCTCAAAGAAAAGATGGTTATTTCTAAAGAAAATAAAATATGTATTATTAGTAATACGAAAGTAAGCACATTTTGGGGGTCCGTGCAGTCTTGCGTATGTGCTAATATGAGGACATGCTTCAAGCTTTAGGGATAGTCTTTGGCAAGAGGATTAGGAAACTGGACGGAAGGCGGGTATGATGTTCAAGTCCACAGCGAGGTCATAGATAAGACTACTATGGAAGGCTAAATTCGGTGAGGCGTAGACCCTGTCCCCATCAACTCCCAGAAGAAAATAGGGGAGATTGTTCTTCTGGTACCTGGAGGTCCTTTTCGCTGCCCGTGTTTCCTGTCGGAATGTAAACCCACTTTTCATCACGGAGAAGCTGTGCCAGGCTGCGGCAAGGATGAAAAGATGAAAGTTTCTAGGCTAGGAGAAAGTCTACCTGGGGGTAAACAGGAAGCAAAGTTGTGTTTTACCTAAGGAAGCCCAGCTCCTTGAAGAAAATCCAGTATTATTTGTTCATTGCTTGCTATACCAGAACATTCCAGCAGAGGGCAGACGTTACATTAAAATGAGTCTAAACTCACCAACCCCCCCCCCCCCCCGTTGTCGCTTTCAGTATTTTATTGTAAAATTTCTGGTTTCTAAACGATTTGAAAATATTTTTAAAGTATGTAAGGTATATAATACGTTAAAAATACAAAATTTCTTAGATTCCAGTTAATATTTTTGACTATTACCGAAATATTCAAAATGTGTTTCCAAAATCAAGAGATTTTGCCCCCCATAATTTACAGCCTTCTTTTAGAGATTCACTATCATTGTAAGCAAAGCTGTTGTTTTTTCCTCTTATTTGTGAAACTATTACTCTTTAACTTTTAATTTTGAAAATCCATTATATCTCTTAATTTAACAAGTATAATTTTCTTTGGTTCCAATAAGTTTGATACATACAGTTATATTAATAGAAATGACTTCATTTTCAAATTTATTTCATCGCTGGTTTTGATAATTCCCTTAGGGAAAAAAATGACACATGTAAAAGTTAATTAAACATATTTTACAGCATGACTCCAGTGTCCAGTACAGCTCTGCAAGAGTTTGGATTTACTTCTCTACAAAACTCTTTTTTTTTCTGATTTAAAAGGATCATTCGTACAATAAGCTTAAAAACTATAGGAGCTACTATCTACATTTTTAAATAAGAGCAAGGCACCTGGGAGTAGTGTCTGAATTCGGGTGCGGGCACCTCGCTGGGCTCCAAAGCCTGTGTTCTCGGCATGGCAAAGCTCTGCCTTCTCTGTTCCTTGAAAAGCGCACATGACTTCCAATATGAGAACCTCCCAGACCGCCATGTTTGAAGAGTACAAAGACAAAAACAGGAGAATCCTGAAAATCAGTTGTAGTAATTCAATGTTTGGTATATAAACTCAAAAATTGTTTGTTTGTTTTTCTTTTGAGAAACAACACATTTCTTGATAATGCTTTTCTGGAGAGGCGTGCGCACACTCGTGTGTGTGTGTGTGTGTGTGTGTGTGTGTGTGTGTGTTCGAGAGAGATTTTCTTTTTTTTTAATTTAGGCAGAAAACCTGCAGGGTAGGCAGTTTCATGGTTATTGGAGAGATATTATTTTCTTTATTATTCAGTTTATTTCTTTTAATACTTCTATTTCAATGAAAGAACAATAAAAGCATCAAAGCAAAGCATGCTCTTTAGGAAACTCTTCGTGAGGCTGTGAGGATTTATCATTTGAAGATCCACTTCAAGTGACACAAGCACGGGGCCCTGTGCCCTCCCTGTCACTGCTGCAATCATCTCTAACAGAGTTACTGTAACTGATTTGGTGCGGCGGTGACAGAAGTGTCCCTTCTTCATATGTGTGCAAGATGCGTGTGGATGGGTGAGGCGGAAGTTTGTGTCTATCCGTGAGTCAGAAATATTAGCGAAGTGCAAACATCTCTCCAACTTGTTTCTTGGAATATACAATGTTTTAATTTTTATGGAGAATTTGACATTACAAGGAAAATGACTTTCCAAAGTGAGTTTCACTTCATTTAGCACCAAGGTTGCAGAGTTTCCAAAGCTTCACGTAAATCATGGTCCATGCTTGATGTTGGTAAAAAGCGGTGAGATGCTGGGTGATGTGGGTGAATTGTTTAACCTCTCTGAATATCGGTTTCTCACCTATAAAACTGAGTTGATCATGGGTGTGGCTACTGCAGAAGGTGATGATATATTACAATTTGCGTTATATCTGGAAATGCTCTGCACTCAATGTTCTTCTTGTGAAATCCACAGTACCCAAATAATGAAATCAATTGATCACACTCTGCATTTGGTATTAGCATTATTATCAGTAAATTATATGTACATACTGTGTAAATCCTCCACCCCAAACTGATGTATGCTAGATCAAAGCTGGGGGAAATCTTGACTCTGCATATACTAAGAGTCATTTTAAGATTCTTGTTTAATTGCTGATGATTAGAAAAAGAAATGGAAAATCAAATATTAATCCATTTCTACTACACTCACGGGAAAATTTGATGGTAACAATATTCAATTTCTACATTGTATATATTGGCATTTTCCCAGCCAATTTAGTATACTCTTCAACTCCCAGTTCTGCATTTAAAATAACAAATGGAGAGTATGTCGAAATTTACTTTTTTGCCACAGAAATCTTGGCCTCTATGTCTAGAACTGGAATTATCTTCGCAATGACATTTTCCCATCTCATTTTACACCTTGCCTTTTCCTTACAAATCATATTCTCTTTTCATCAGTACATCTGCCCAAATGCTCTCCGACTTGACAGTTCTATCCCACACTCGCCTCTGAGCTTCTAACAAGACATACCTCTGGGAATTGCAAAGTGCCATATTTAAAATCTCTCTCTGAGATAACCAGGTTTTCCCGTGTGATCATGAGGGATTCCTCAGATCTGAGCTCCAGAGCTAATCTATGACAACTGATAAGCCCAGTATTTTCACATTAGTGTGTTTGTGTTGCGCTAATATACTTAAACAGTATGTGTGTCCGTGGTGTGTTTTTGTGCAACTCTTTTCTCAGCTTCTGATTGATTTTTTAAGCACAGTGTCTTAAATGTTTGATAGATAGCTTGGGCTAAAAGTACCTGATAACTGTCCAACCTAAATGGACTTAATCAAATTGTAGGGAGATACCTTACATGTCAAGGACATATTTCATAGGGACAAGAGTCCGCAGTAAAAAGCAAGAAATTATTGATGCACACCCAGCATGGATGACTCTCAGATAGTGCCGTCTATGTTGAGGGAGGGTTGCATGCTGCATGAATCCACTTATGGCATTCTGGAAAGAGTAGAGTCGTGATGCCCAAAACCAGATCAGTGATCACCAGGGGACAGCCAGAAGGCACTGGTGACAAAGAAACTTGTTCTTGAGGGGACTTGTAAGGTGATAAGGACATCCTCATTGTAGTAGTAGTTACTGGAAACATTTGTCAAACTCACTAACCACAGAAGAGTAACCTTCATGCTGACGGATGTTCATCTGACTCAGTTCATTTGACCCACTTCAAAGAAAGGACACACTAATCACTTTGAGCTGTACATGCTCCTTCTCAAGTTGTGCTAACACACAATGGGCTTGTTTTCCTCGATTTCTATTTCAGTGCTAACAAATGTGGCACTGATCGTTTTAAATAACTGACAGGTATCTTGATATGGCTTATTAGTGTTTCCAGAGCTCTCCGAAGAAATGAAAATCGCCTAACCAGTTATAAATATTATGAAATATAGTTAATTATAAGAACATGATGAGATGGGATGCCTGCCCTAATATGATACCCAATCGTTTGATTTTCATTTCAATTAAGCTCTCCTGCCAGTAGGTCATTGTGTCTAGTATTGCATAGTAGTTATCAAATTGAAAAAGGCAAATGCCACCACAGTCATTTGACATAATAGAAGCTAGGGTCAGTCCAACCTGAACACAAACAAGTTCCACAGATCCTTCTGATTCCAAGTCAGCTCCCAGAAATCCTGTGCCCTGACATCTCCCAGTTTAATGTTAGTTCTGATCCTTGATGATGGTATTGCCTACGTCTTTGTAGATAAACGATGAGAAAGAAGAAGGTTGTCAAAATGGAATGACCTGACTCCTGACAGCAGCCCTGGGATTCAGTGAAGGGCATACACTTGCCATTCATACTCTGGGTAGATGGCGACTTCATATAATTATAGTAAAGAGAAACATTTCCAGACTCTCAGACTCTAGCGAATGTAATGCCAAACGTCAGTCATACTCTCTTGGAGAAGATTCTTTTAGAGATTTTAAATTCATGTTTATTTATCTCTGAAATGTTAATTTCATAACTGGTCAGTGGGCCCGCATGCTTCATTAAATTCTACCCTTTGCGCCTGCCACTGCCATCATACACAAAACAGCCCCATGGTCTCTGTAATAATTTGTGTTTAAAAGCCGCTATTAAGCTTAGGGTTTCTTTCCAGGGGAGAAAATTTATGTGTACAGGTAAGATACATAATTCAAATCACAAATGTGCAGGAACTCACATTTACTTTCCTGTTGGGTGTTACTGTAGGTAGCTTTTGCGGATTTGAGTCATTCCCGGCAGCTGCTCATCCATAGTGGAATGTTTTCAGTGTAGCCCGTGTGAAACTCTTACCTTTGATTCATGCTTGCTTGGGTGTGCCTTCCCTCCTTGCGTTGAACTGTATGTACTGCGTGCTGTAGAGGTGTGCAGTTAAAATACGTTTATTCTAGGAAATATTTTTTAAATATTTTAAAATGTTTTCCTTTACAGAATCAGACACAAGTTTGGCAGAAGGAAGTGTCAGCTGCTTAGATGAAAGTCTTGGACATAACAGCAACATGGGCAGTGATTCAGGCATCATGGGAAGAGATTCAGGTACTGCCTCAGTGTTGTGCAAACCTGGGAAAGTGTGAAATAAGACACCATATAGTGGGATGCACGGGGGCTGTTCATAGCCTCCCTAATGGATTGATGCAATTAAAGCAATTTTGTTTTCAATAGCGAGTCATGCTGGAACTTTGCCATTTACTTTCTTTGACAGTATAACTTGCTCAAGTCTTACAAGGAAATTCTGATTTTGATCTAGTGGATGCATTTTTGGTCAGGCATAAGCCACGTTGCATAGACTCATGTCTTCTCTCCTTTCCTGAGATCTGTTTCAGCTAATTTAATGGTGCTTACGGTGCTTAAATTCTTTGTACGGTTTGGTTTATTTACCCCCTTCCCCGGTTATTTTTCATTTTAAAATGTTCTAAGGCAGACAATTAATCCTTCCCCCAGGTGCAATGTGACTACAGATCATAAGTAGGGTGCCTCTGAAAACAAGAATCTTGCAATCACACATAGAGCTAAGTTAGTTCTGATTCGGCTGCCATAGCCGCAGAGCATAGATGGTGTTTTGATCTCTAAATGAAAGCTGGGCTAGATATCTCCCATACTGTTCTCCGTATTGGCTGCCTCTCGCTCCTGCAGGAAGCGAGAATGCCTGCTTCCAGTGCCCCCCAGTTTATCAGTACCTCCCCTTATTAGACTTCCTAACTTGTCAGTTTGATTGATCCAAATTATCCTGTGCTCTCTCTGGAATGTGTGATTATAAGGAGTTGGAGGGGGACCATCTTTCAACTGTGGCTGAGAAGTTACTGGTGTCTGCTGTCCACCTTTCTGTGTTTGCCTCAAAGTTTGAAAAGATGCGGTGTGAGAATTAATAGATAAAACTACTTGGCAATGAGCCAGTTTGGGACCAAGGGAAAATTGACAAATTAAGAAATAAATTAGCTTATTTTTTGTGATTGGGTCGTTTCTACTTAGAAAGTACCGTGTGATTCATATTGTTCCGCATTGTAAGATTTGTAGAAATATAGACAACAGGAAAAAGGGTTTTGGATAAGCATGGATATCTGCCTTAAATGCTTTGGAAGTCAAACTACACCAAGCTTCTATTTTATGCATGTTTTTTTTTCTTACTCCCCCAGTTACACTACTGCAATCTTTACAAGTTAACTTGAGGAAAGCCAGCTCACCAAATGTCAGTCATGACTTTGTCATAAAATAGGGTCAGTTCGTTTTCTGTTCAGTAAGGTCAGTGTTAAGTTCCCCACAGGAGTCAAATTTGTTTTTCTGTCTTTGTTATGAAATAGTTAAATTTAATATTTGCCATGTCTCCTGCATGTCACTGATGCTAGAACTCTAAATATACTCTAGCTGATGGTTACGGTCCATATGGGTTGTTTTAAGCTGCTGTGCCCTATCCTAATTTGTATTTGTCTAAGGAAGGGCTTTTCAACAATATTTATCCATTCAATAAATATCTAAAACCCATCCACTATTTGCAGGGCATTTTGCCTACTTAGAGCTGTTAGCAAATGTATTTGCTGATTTTTGGTCTTCAATGTGGCATGAAAGACATGATAAATCTGAGCACAGCCTCCTTTTCAAAAGCAAATACATTTTCAAAAGCAAATACATTTTTAAAGGCAAGTGCATTTTCCAGGGGCGCCCTTCAAGGTCTAGGTGGATCGGGGTTTAAGAGCAGAGAAGGATTTTGTGTAGTGGGCAGTAAAATTCTGAAATGATGACATTTATGAAATATTTGACCCCGAGTGCATACTGATGTCTTTTAATAAAAGCTTTTGGTAAATTGGTGAGGGGTTAAATGCATCCTGGATCATTTAAGACTGTAAGAGCTGAAATTGCTTTCTCCTTCAAGGCTGACATCATAAGGCACCGTAAATCACACATCCTCAGTCCCCCCTTTAAAAGCAGCACAATGAGAACCAAGACAGTTGTTTTATGATCTTATGATCTTCATAGAGGTATCCTACTATAGCAGAATGTGACTGCTAGCGCTTTTCCAGTTTAAATAGCCTAATCAGGTCACAAGATTTCTCTTCCCCCATCTTTAGAGGGATATATTGATTCTCAAAGCAGTGACACTTTTCGTCAGTCCATATTGACCTGATATGGGGGATGTACCTCCTGCTATTTGGAGAAGATGTCTATTAATATTTGTCCAATAGGAGCGTTTTTTCCCCCGTGGTTACACACTATAGGTAAAAGGAGGCTCTGTCGATTTCAAACACATGCAGTGGCAGACCTTTTCTCTCCAAGAATAACTCAGCTGTCAAAACCCATGTGAGAATGAAATTTGCCACATGGTGTAGTTCCAATGGAATATTATTATTTAAACCCGATTTCATTTCATTTTGACCATTTCCATGTTGTAATATAATTTAAAGATCTTCAACTGGCTCTTATCTGAAAGGGAATGTGCAACGTGCTTCAAAACCTGTCACTGTTTTTAATACCATTTTCATTATTGGGTTTAATTGATTATAATTTAGGTTCTGTGGATTATATAATTGGTCTTAATGGATTATAAACTGGGTTCTATTGATTATATAATTGGGATGTATTGATTACATAAGAGAGAGAGAGAGCCAAGAATAAATAAAGCAAAACCAACATTTCATTTTTACTTGATGCTAGCTCGTGGCTCATTGATTCCAGCCTGGTTTTCTCCTTCTGGTGGCAGAAGAGATGAGACTGTTTTCATTGCTTATATGGATACATTTTTCCATGCCCGTGTCAGAAGATGTGATCAGGCAAGAATCAGGCAGAATATTTAGCACTAACCCAGCATTTTTCTTTGGATGCTGTTCTAACATTGAATCCAACTCTATTTTTTTTTTCCTGAATCCGTTCTGTTTTTCTGTTTCAAATCTCTGGGCTGCCCAGTGGGCCTCCTAGTCCTGACTCAAAAATAAATAGGATTATCTATTTATCTAGCCTGATATATTACGTGTGAACAGTATAATTTCCTATATTAAAGTCCTTTGAGAAACAAATTAAGTTTGACAGGTTATAGTATAAAATAGGTGCCTATAGAATGAATTAGTGGCACGTGATCAGCTCAGTCATAACTTTGGTTCTGGAGTTAAATCTTTAAAATCATAGCCCTTTGATTCTTCTAATCCTTCTGAGTTATAAAATATAATAAAATCCTACTATGTTGTAATGGTTCCTTTTCTCATCACTTAACCATATGCTTGACAAGAAACAACTTAGGGGAAGACAGAATTTCTCTAGTCCATGGTCCATCACGGTGGAGCAGGCGTGGTGGAAAGTGTAGCTCCTGACTATAGAAGCTGGAGAGTGAATTTGCTTATTTCTCTGGCTGCCTAACAGGAAGCAAGGTGTCCAGGTTAGACCTCTCAAAGGCTCCCCTTGCCTCAGCCCAGTTACTCACTTCCTCCAGCCAGATCCAACCTTTGAAAACTTCCTCCCAAAGCAGAGCTACCAGCAGCAGAGGAAACAGGAGCCTGGGGGCCATTTCACTTTCAAATGCTAACATAAGAATCAGTGCCACAGAGATCATTCATTTTATTTGGGTTTTGGGTTTCTGGAAAAGAGACCTAGAATATCCTTATGTTTCTCCTAGAAGTTTTGTTACCAAAGGATATAATATAAGACATAACAACAAAAGGGGGAAATTATTACTAAAACAGTATACACAATTACTATGAGGAATGGAACATTTTCTTGCTTTTAAATCCATACCACAATTTTGATAGAGTAAAATTATCAGAGACTATACTGATGTAAATTTCCATGTCTCGATTTAGATACTGCTTAGATTTTATCTTTCATTATAAATATTCTAGCTCTTTCTGGAAAATTTGGGTAATAAATGCTCTTAGTAGAGAAGAAACATGAAGATTTTCATTGCCTATAAAAGCCACTTGCTGGAAACACAGCGTTATCGTTAAACAAACCTGAAACTTACAGAAAGATAATGGGAAGTGAACCTACAATGCTGATGACCTCGGCGGCTGTTTGTTAATAAAAACCATATCAAATGACTCAGCAGATGATCCGTTCGTAGCCTAAATGTATTCCATCTGTCGTTACTCACGCATAGAAGGGCAAACGTCCCGCGTGCTCTGTAGATGGCTCTCACTAAGTGGTGTTTGGTGTGAGTTTTCCTACCTGCACAGCTTGTTCCCTCTCAGCAAGTTTAAACCCACTCAGAGAGAACCAACAGTGTGCGGAAATGGAGCTGTCAGCAAGTTCTTTTAAGTTAATGGGACGGTGTTGGCTTAGTTTTATTGTGCCCATTGATAAGGGAGCGAGCGCTCCTCTCCTGTGTGGCGAAGCACTGATAAGCTGGGTCGTTTCGTCTTTTCTGACGCTTTAGAGCACAGGTGGACATTCGAGTTGGGAAAATATTTGCTTCAATACATTCCATGCTGTAAGCAACGCATTTGTAAAACCTTTCCTCTTCGCTAATAAGATGAGAAAACATGGTCACCTCTGAACAAAATCTATTTAAGCCAAGACATATTATCGTAGGATTATTCTAGCATTTATAACTTCACTATTAGCTAGCATTTACCTTGTCAGTATTTTTTTTATTTAAAAATGTATGTTATGGAAATACTTGTAATATATTTTGCTTTGGGTATCAGGAGAACAAATGCATAGGGGCTTGCATATCAGGGAGCAATAAAATGACAGTTTAAAACTACAGGGCAAAATTCCTGACAATTTAGTTGAAAGGTACACACTTATGCTTTATCTTTTGGTGGAGACGTTATCAATTAAAGGTCAGCATAGAAAATTCTTTCCCACTGTGTTCTAAATATGCTATACAACCTAGTTGCCTCGGAAGCAAAAGATGTCCCTGTTCTCACTGAATGAATCTCTCTGTGTATATGTGTTCTCTCTCTCTTTCTCTGTGTGTGTGTGTGTGTGTGTTTACTCTGTGTCTCTCTCTTTCACTCTGTCTCTCTGTCTCTCTGTCTCTGTCTCTCTCTCTCTCTCTCTCTCTCTCTCTCTCTCTCTCACACACACACACACACACACACACACACACACACACACAGGCAGCCCTCCATGTCCACAAGTGCCGCATACACAGATTATGTCAACTGTGTATCCAAACCATATTTTAAAATTTGTGCCGAACACACAGAAATGTTTTGTCATTACTTTTAAAAAAATATAGCTTTTTATAAAGCATTTACATTATATCAGATTTGTAACTAGGGATCATTTGTAAGAAGATATATATGCACATTATCTGCAAGTGATGTTCCAGTTCATATGCAGGCCTTGAGCGCTTCAAGCCACACAGACACCAGTAGGCGACAGCAGGTATGCTCTCTGTGGCATTTAGTTGCCAGCTGATATTTTAGCAAATTAAGGAAGTAGTTCCAGCTGTTATTTTTCTTTCTTTTTAATAAAAAAAAGAATGAAAATGAGAGCTGATCACTCCTGCCTCTCCAGCTCATCTGGATTTACAGGTGGAAGGGCTAAGAGAAACCAGGAGGACAAATGGCTGAACAAAGAACCGAGAAACCTGGTACATCAGCAATGGGAACTGACAAGCCTAGAAGGCAGCCTCTGAGGGCCAAAGGGACTGTGCCCTCACTTGGTCTCCCCACGTCCTCTCCTCCCAAGGCCCCCAAGATGTTAATTCACCCTGAGGTAGGGAATCTAGGCCATGTCCTGAAGACAAAGCTGACACTCTGTGGTACAGAAAAAAGAGCGTGGGTTGACTTGGATCACAGAGGAAAGGGGCTTACGCCGCCACCGGAAGCCTGTGTACAGTTTCCGGCTTCGGAGCCTTTCTTTCTTCGTTGCCTGTTCTCTTACATGGCTTTTCCATGCTTCCTTCCTTCAGATGAAAGAATGGGAGCGCAGAGAGCTTCCCCTGAGCCTGAACTGCAGCTCAGGCCTTACCAAATGGAAGTGGCCCAACCAGCCTTGGAGGGGAAGAATCTTATTATCTGCCTTCCCACTGGGAGCGGGAAAACCAGAGTGGCTGTTTACATCACCAAGGATCACTTGGACAAGAAGAAGCAGGCATCAGAGCCTGGGAAGGTGATAGTCCTTGTCAATAAGGTATGGCTCCCTGTGCGCACCTTTGCTTCAATATTCTTATTTTTGTTTCATTATTCTGAAACTTTCAGATGATGACATTTGTAGCAACAAATTGCACAGATTTTGTTTAATTAGGTGTAATGTCAAATAAACCATTTATTTTAATTTTCCTCTTTAAGGTATATACCTGAAATTTAAAAGATTAACTTTTAGGTTGGCTTTTTTTTTCATAAAACTGCAACATTAAATCAAATCGTTCTAACTTATGTATAAAAATTTTCCAACACACAGTGTAAGGCCAATAAATATGAGTATGTGTGACTTGAAATTGTCTCTGGAATCTAGGATCATTACCTCTTTTTAAAGTCCCTTAAACTGCTAATGCTTAACCAAACATCCTCTTTTTCCAGAATATACAGAATGTGACTGAAAGCCAAAGAGAAAATTAAGTGAATATTTTGTCTATTTCAAATTAAATAGGCAATTGATGGTAAAGAATTTATGCAAATATATAATATTAAATGTTATTGAATTTTTCCCTGAAAAATGTATGTTTTCTGAGGACCCCAGACCCATCTTTGTATCAACATTATAAACACAATTTATTTATTTGAATTTTATTTAAATAGATGAGAATTTATGCATTTATAGATTGGGAATATTAATCTTTCCTATTTTATAAATAAAATTTAGTGTGCTTTTCCTGACCAACAGTAGCCTATTCAATTACAGAAACTACACTGATAAACTTTTAAGACTGTATTTTTTAAGATTTAGGTTATTCTAAACCTTTTGGTTGAAAGCTGCCTCGCTATACTTAAAACTGCATACAGAATCCAAGCCTTGGCGATTTTCATCGTGATGTTTGAGATAGACTTGCGTGCAGCTTCTGAGTCCCACGTGCTCTCCCAGCACCGGCGTGTGACTCAATGGCAGAGCTCCAGTGCCCCCAAAACAAAGCAAAGGGACCTGATACCTTTATCTTACAGCTTTCTACACACTGTAAGAAGATATGTTTGCTTTTCTTTGGTTGGTGATGATGACACATTAGTATTTATTTGCCCAAAACCTTTCATTTGTTTCCTTTTCAAATATAATACACTTAAATCCTACTTCTAACTATCAGCACTTTGACCTTCGACAAAATTAGAAACTTCTCTGACTTTTTATTTGCCTAGTCTATTAAATCAAATTAGCTTCCATGTTCTGAAGTTAAAATTTGACTCTGCAGGTATGTATGTTTGCATGTGTGCACATTCATATACACACATGGTCACATACTAAGAAGCGTTTAATAATGGCATGCTAAATTTTCATATCTTTCTTACATGGAAATTAACAAAGTGAAATATTTCACATATCGAACAGGATTGAGTCCTAGGTCCATAGGAAAAAAATAATGTTAAATTATTTTCCAGGCACTCAAAAGGCTCTTAAACCGATGCCTTTGTTTCTTTGGGGCCGTTTTCTGCATTTCAGTCTCATTCCCTCTCATCTCAAAGATTCTCTTTCCTGTTTCTCTCTCTCTGTTATCTTTACCACCTCAGCCAAACCATGAACTTTCAACTATTATTTTCCATTCTTTTCCTTTTCTAATTTCCATTATCTGGTCATAGGACCACACACTATAAGAGGTGAGGGGGCCTTTGTGATGTGGCCTTCCTCCTTGGCAGAGATATGCCACTTCTGCTGGCTAATGCCTGGTACCAAGAATACTAACATCTTTCAAAATAGCCATAGGTATTCTTTTCACACTTGCTGCTCAAGGAGATTCATACATGTGAATATTCACCCAAACTTATGTTTCTGTGGAACACATGGTCACTCTTTCCTCTGTCATTCTGGAGCATAAACCTCATTCTCTGGTTTTGCAACAGCTCTTTATAAAGAAAAGGCAACATCCTGTCATTATGCATGTAACACAATTCCTAGGCCCCCTAAGATTTGGAGTTCTCCCAGACCCAGTGTTTAGAGTTGGACAAAATGTTGTAGATGCAGTCTTGGGAGTGTGGAATGAAGGGGAAATGAGGTAGACATCCAGCCCAAGTCTGAGGATATTTGTCCATCACAGACTTTGACATCAGCTGCATCTTGTTATCAGCTTACAATCCCTGGTTCCTTTTCATGTGAATACATACTAAGCTGAAAACCTTTTTAATTTATTTTTCTGAAACTAAGTTTCGAGCTTTCAGTGCAAGCACCCAATATTTTCCATATTGTTCTTCATGTGATTTGATCATTTTTAGATCTGCTTTTATTATTTTATGTGTATGAGTGTTTTGCCTACATGCATGTTGTGCAACACATGCATGTCTGATCCCCATGGAGACCATGGCATTTCAAATGGCTTTTCTCCACAGATGAGCACTGAGAGCGTCTCTCAGTCCTTTTCTGCCTCATTCTGGTTTTCTTTGAGATTACTAAAAGTCTTCCCACTAGCTCTCTATTTACACCATAATTGCGTACTGTAAGTTTTTTTCAAACATAATTAAAATAACTTCAACTTTAATTATTGATTTTTTTTGTCTTCAGGAAATCTCTGATTTAGTAAAACAGCATATTCATGTTTAGCCCAATAGCAATGTCTTATAACTTTTAATCTAGAATACAGAAATTCTAGCTTCTAATACCATTTCCTTTCATCTCCATTCTTTCCAAAGTTATAGCCTTCAAGTGCAGAGAGAAAAGCAAACACCACCTGTGCTCCCAGACTTTCCGTTTCCTATCTAGGACTTCACCATCATGAGGGATAAATCCCAGGTTCCTTCCGATGCTGGGATGCAGCCCCATATGATTCAGCAGAAGTGGGTAGCAGTTGGGCTTGATTAGTCTTGGCACGCACTGTGTCACATCTCAGGAAAAGGCTCCAAGAGGACCACACACCTCCCAATTAGCCATGTCAGACTTGCATCTGGCTTTCTCTGTGTCCTGCAGTAGGAAGTCAATGCCACCCAGAGTGAGTCTCAGGATTATCCACCAGTGACTGAAGTATCAGGTAATGTGATCGTTATGAGAAACTGATGGTGGCTGCGCTGAAGCTTGGCCATGACACTCTTCCTGCCAGTTTTCTATTTGCTACACTCACTCTGTACTTCTGGACTTCTGTTTTGACATCCTCCTAGAATGGAACCTGCAGCATGCTCTCTTTTGGGCCACCAACCAGCTTCCAAATCAAGGCACAGAGACTTCCTATTAGTTATGAATGCTCGGCCTTATCTTATCCTCTTACAACTTAACCTGTTTCTCTTTGTCTATGTTTTGCCTTGGGGATTTACCCTTTTCTTTCTGTATGTCCCACTTTTCCTGCTTCTTCGGTTTCTGGCTGGTTGGTGCCTGGCTGGCTGGTGCCGGCTGTCTCTCTCTCTTTTTCCTCCTCTGTTCTCTTCTTCTTCCTCTCCTCTTTAGAGCCTGGATTCTGCTTCCTACGTATTCTCTCTGCCTGCCAGCCCCACCTATCCCTCTCCTTCCTGTTCATCGTTTAATTAGACCAATCAGGTGCTGTAGGCAGGCAGGGTTAAACAGCAACATATATTTTCATAACTAAACAAATACAGCAAAAATTGTAACACGTCCTTACATCATTAAACAAACGCAGCAGAAACAAATATAGCACACCTTTACACAGCGAAAGTCAGATTCCACAGCATAAATAATTGTAACACATATTTATCTAATTAGATACTCCACAAGAACCCTCAGGGCAGCCTGACTGGGGGTGGCCATGCAGCTCAGGTGTTAGGGTATTTGCCTAGCAAACAGGAAGCCTAGAGGTCAACAAGCACAAATCATGCTTGGTGGTGCATGGTTGTAATTCCAGCACTGAAGAGGAAGAGACAGAGGGATCAGGAGTTCAAGGTTATCCTAAGCTACACAGAGAATTCAAGGCCAGCCTGGACTCTGTGAAAATACCCTTTCTCAAACAAAAGAGAACAAAACTTAAAAGTAGCATAGACGAGCTCATCTTTCTCTTGGTCCAGGAGTTATTGAATGAGTTCCAATAGCTGCTGTCACCAGTTATTGCAACCATACCAGATTGACTAGAAAGGAAGTAAAATTTCTACCTCTCTCCCCCGTGTTCGCTACTTTGTTTTCATGGACGCATCAAAGCCATCCTGGTAGTTCATTCTTGCCCATCCTGCACATTGTCCTAACAAATGTGTTGACGCTACTGCCCGCGTTCCTTGCTCTTTCCACTCTTATAGTCAAATAGCCTCTAGCAGGATCCCAGGCACTAAGGATGAATGAGCTCTAGAATTATGCGCTCAGCTAGACTGAGTTTCTCTAAGTCATCAGCCTTATCTTAAATACCTTTGTGTTCTATATGCAGTGCCTACAGCTAATGCAACCAAGATGGGTATTTAATGTCAGATGGACGGATGGAATGATATATAGATGGTAATATCAAATTAACTGATTCGGTGTAAACATTTCACTTACTAGTTCACACACACAGTCCTTTGCCTGATATGCCCCTGTATCTTTCAATTTGCTTCCCTCTCTCTGTCTTCGGAATTTTAAAAAGCACTGTATGTTCTCGCTTATAAAGGTAATGTTAGCTGAACAGCTTTTCCGCAAGGAGTTCAACCCATTTTTGAAGAAATGGTATCGCATTATTGGATTGAGTGGTGATACTCAGCTGAAGATATCGTTCCCGGAAGTTGTCAAGTCTTACGATGTTATCATCAGCACAGCTCAGATCCTGGAGAATTCCCTCTTAAATCTGGAGCACGGAGAGGATGACGGGGTGCAGCTGTCAGGTGTGCTGGAGTGGGGTGATTCTTAGAAGAAAGACTGGTAGAGATATTAGAGATAGTAACAAAGGCTGCTCCTTGTATCATTGCTTACTTGATGAAAATTAACCTTAGTTTATCTAAGTTATTTTTTATTTCATGAGGCTTCACTGAAGTGCTCTACCTCCTGGAAAAAATGAACAAAAACAGAAAAAAATGTTTAACTTGATGGCTTGCTTTTGCATAAGGATCTTGTTACCAAATCAGGCATCAAATACTCATTATGTTCTTCTATTACTTCACACATGCGTGCCCGCACACACACCGACACACACACACACACACACACACACACACACACACACACACACACACTACAGAGTTTCACCTTAACTTTTGACTGAGCCACAGCTTACCAGAGTTCCTCCAAACCCTTCCTTTGAGAGGCCAATTGCTCTTCCTTTGTGCTATCATCTGCTTATGCCTCTCTGAGAGAATAATTACCTTGTAATATAAATATACATCATATATATATAATTTTATATGTAATTTTTAAATTTGGTGATAGATCCTATTAGAACTACCTTCTTTACTATAGAATAAGACTACAATCCTGCCTACACTATTTAGAATAGTTAAATGATTAGGAGAAAGACAAAGAAAAGTAAAAGTTATCACAATAATTAAATGCAAGCTTCAAACAACACAAAATCATCCCTCTCTAAATAGCATACTTTCACTCGCTGTTACAAAAATAGAGTTTCTCAGCCTAAAACTAAATTTTTGTTCAAGAACAAAAGTGGAGCCCTGGGAAGATTTTATTTTTGTTTTTGTTGTTTGTTTGTTGTTTGTTTGGAAGAAAGATATAAGTTTCACTGACACTTTCTAGATCTTGTTTTGAGATAGGGATAATAGCTAATCGGAACAGAGTCATGATGACCACACATGAACTTTGTATTCATGCGTGGTAATAATGGGTAAAGTTGTATTCACGGATAAAGTCACAGCAGCAGACTGAAGTAGGGCTGTACCAGTATTCTTCTGGATGACTGACATGCAGTGGCAGGCAGCTCATTCCTTTAGCTTCAAGGTGCTTGTCTTACTGTCCCAGGCCAGTTTGGGTGAACACCTTCTACCTTTCCCATTCAGATTTTTCCCTCATTATCATTGATGAATGCCATCATACCCACAAGGAGGCGGTGTACAACAACATCATGAGGCGGTATTTGGAGCAGAAGTTGAAAAACAATGCCCTCAAGAAACAAAACAAGCCAGTAATTCCCCTGCCACAGATCCTAGGACTAACAGCTTCACCAGGTGTTGGAGGAGCCAAAAAGCAGGCCGAAGCTGAAAAGCATATTTTAAATGTAAGTCCCTGAGTTTATGAACAACCAACAAGCTCTGTCGAGTGCCTAGGCTTCTTAGGCTTTTGCGTACATGCTGAGAGTTCGAGTGTCAACGTCATCTGTGAAATGAAGGTTGTTTGCTTTGCCTCTAGAAAATAGACACAATCTTCTACAACATGGCAACAGGTGATGGAGAACAATAACATAATTGCTATGAAGCTGGATATAATTAGTGAGAAGGACTGTAGAGATGGCTCAGCTATTAAAGACTAGGCTCACAACCAAACTTCGTGAGAAGTTTGGGTTGAATAGAATATGCCTTTGCAGCTGTTCTTCTTCAACACTTGAACGTCATGATCTCTGGATCCAGACACAGAGTTAAACCACACATGCCGATAATTTTCAGCGCTGATGACGTGTTCCTCCGTGACTTTCAAAGCAGCATGCTTTCTGTGTCTTTTTCCACTGTGTGTCAGTCTAGGATATGGGTTACTCACGTGAAAAGATAAAAAGATGCAAATGTACTGGTTCTTGCCTTTAATCCTGGCACTTGGGAAGCAGAGCCAAGCAGATTGCTGCGAGTTGACAGCGAGTTCCAGGCCAGCTAGTGCTGCTGAATGAGACCCTGTCCCTCAGTACGGGTTTGGGGATGGGAGATGGGAGGAGTGGGAAATAAGAATACGAGGATCTTTCATTCAAGCTGCACCCATCAACTTCCCCAGACAGGAGTGCCATTTACAATGCTGCTGTTGACCTTGGGTCAGACCATCAGGGGACCTAGGAAGCTTCTCACTGGAGGTGGAATTCAGTAGAAGCAAAAAAAATCAGAAAAGGATTGTCTCCAGGATATACCTTATTACTGGAGTAAAGACCTAACTGCTGCCTATGATCTAGACACCAAGAGGAAGGTAGCTCCTCCCTTTGTGCTGTCTTCGTATGTACAAAAGAGTGGAGATGCATGGACAAGAGCGTGACCATGAATGTGGCAGCCTGATACAGGCAGATAGCAGCTGCCACAAAACTATCCTGCTCATTTGCATAAATTGTTCTATTTTCTAAGCGATGAAATGGAATTTAAATGACAGCTTTTTCTAGAATTAGACTTGGAACACACTTTTTGAAGGCACCAGAACAAATATTATTGAAAATTGGTTGAATAAATCCATAGTTGGCATTGCTAAAATCCCACATTTAATATAATGCCACGTTTTGCTTGAATGGAATGTTAGACTACATATTTATGCTAAAAGCTTCATATTACACTTTGTTGACACAAAAGTATGCATTCAGTTGTAAGAAAAGAATACTTAAAGCGTCTCTTTTCTAGATATGTGCCAATCTTGATGCCTTTACCATTCAAACAGTGAAAGAGAATCTTAGCCAACTCAAACACCAGATAAAGGAACCCTGCAAGAAGTTTGTGATTGCTGACGACACCAGAGAAGTATGTTCTAAACATTTCATATGTGTTTGTCTGACAATGCCATATTCAATTTAAAGGTGGCCAGGGCTATTTTATGTTCACCAACTGAGTAGTCACATTTAACATTTTTTGTCAAAGCAGTCATCATTTTATACTTTTAAAAATTGACAAAAGGCAGCAACACTACTAGGAATGTCCTCACCACCCTCTTCCTCCTGTCTTAGAAGAGCGTAATTCAGGATTTGACTACATGCAATTCTTGGAGGAGGGGAAGCATTGGACTGAGGAGCATGGGATGACTAAATTAGAGAGATTGTAGCAGTTAATGCCCTCTTACTGACTTGATGCTTTGCAATATTGGTTTTTTTGACATTGCATTGCAGTTGGCCATCACAGATATTTTCATTTGTGTATTTTCTTTCCTTGGAAAACACTGATTGTGAAAAAGTAAAAATATTTAATATACTGATGCTTTTAATATTTTCACTAATTTAAAACAAAATAGCTTATAGCCAATATGGATGTTACATTTAGTATGTTATTCCAATTCTTTTTTTTCATAGAATTGAAGACTTAATAAATCTTAGCTATGAATAATAAGTTTAATCCCATTGAGAAGTCCCCTACTAAGGCTATTGGAACTAAATGATGGGATATGTGTGCAGTAAATGGTCGCAGTGTTTTAGGCACCAGACCAGTGCTAGTGGCCAGTGCCAGCCTCGACAATGTGCCCATTTTCATTCTGAAACAGAGCTATGCTGGCGTGTTGATTGCGCTGTACCCGCTCTTTCAATTCTTGTCACCGGTATTTACCTGATAAACTCAAGTTCATGCCTCTCATCATGATCATCCAAAAACCTTTCCCTGAATATCCTTTGAGAATAATTATCATTCTTCTTTTACTTAACTTTTAAAATTACTCTTTATAAAAGTTCGAAGCGTGGAGAAAAGCACAAAATGTGCCCGTGGATTTTCATAAATTGACCATACTTATGTAGAAAAATTTAGATAATTAGACAGTAAGTTACAAGGCCCTCTAAACTCCTTCTTTTTCCAGTCCCCACGCTAAGGGGAAACTATTCGTCTTAACTGATTTTGAATTTTATCCAAGTTGAATTCATATCTAGATTTTTTCCAAATGATGTCAATTGCTTGTATTTTGGAAGGAATAGTAGTGATACCTGATAATCACAGAGAAATGTTACGTAAGTACAATTAAAAGACTTTCAAAGTAATTGTGGCATTGACTCAATAAATATTTGTAATTGCCTTTAGCTTTCAAGGTTTGTAATACTGACTTTTTAAGAAATTTAGATGGGCAATTTATGATAGAGGTTTATGATGTCAGGATTGGTGTGTCCTGATGGTAGAAGCAAAATAGCAAAAACCAAACACAGCGAACAAAGAAGTGGTCACAGGTTATTCTGTTCCATTGTCTAATTAATGATTCTGAATCAATTATAATATGTAAATTATTTTAACAAAGACAATGCCATTTCAAACAACGTTAGTAATATTTGTATAATTGTTTTTAGAATCCATTTAAAGAGAAGCTTATAGAAATTATGACCAGCATCCAAACTTACTGCCAAATGAATCCAATGTCAGATTTTGGAACCCAGCCTTATGAGCAATGGGCCATTCGTATGGAAAATAAAGGTAATTTGGGTCTCTTTCTAACAGTTTTTTCCTTGTTTACACCAAGATTTTTAGATGATGCTCTCAGACTCAGAAGCAATTTGAAAGCAAACGGAACATCAAGTAGAATTTCTGTTTTGTGCGTAGGGCGAGCCCACACGTGTTCTAACTCCTCATCTGAGGAAAGAGGTGTCAATTCACCCAGTTTTCACTTTCATTTATTATATATAAAGTATTAAGGCAGCTATCAACAGCTCTGTCTCCAAAGGCAATTTTACTGACGTGTTTTTCCAAGCTGTTCAGCCATGATTCAGGTCCATGTTCCTGCTCACACTGAGCTCAAGCAGCAAATTTTGGCATTGAAAACCAGCCCCTTTAGAGCCCATGGCGCATATGGAGCCTTGCTCGTTCTAACACCGCAGTGAATTGGCTTCTGAGCCACAACCAATTCAAGTTTACAACACAGTTGTAGGACGGTTTTCTGCCCTTTGCCTCACTCGGTGTTTTTTTTTGTTTTGTTTTGTTTTGTTTTGTTTTTGTTTGTTTGTTTTTTCTTCCACAGCTGCTAAAGATGGAAACCGCAAAGACCGCGTCTGTGCAGAACACTTGAGGAAGTACAACGAAGCCCTGCAAATCAACGACACGATCCGGATGATTGACGCGTACAATCACCTGCAAACTTTCTACAGCGACGAGAAAGAAAAGAAGCTCGCGGCCCTGGAGGACGATGATGAGAGCGAAGAAGATGCCAGCAGCAATGACGATGTGAAGAAACCCCTGAAACTGGACGAAACAGATCAATTTCTCATGAATTTATTCTTTGGTAAGACTCAGTGTAACACGGAGCCCAGGTTTCTGCACTGACCCCTGAGACAGAGACTCACTGCTTTCTTTGAGTTCTACAGAATGCCTTCAAAATTCGCCTTAAAACAAAAGAATTCCATGAAAACTGTGATTTATAATTGATATCACAGAGTAACTTTTAATTGTGTGATCATAACTAACCATTTGACCATCCAGTTTTTATTGCCCAGGCAATTGCAATTAATTAATTAACAAGTCTGAGCACTAAATATATCACAGGAAGATTACCTACAGATGAGTCCTGTCTTATAGCATCATTATGTAATAACTGACAGTGTAATTATTTTTTGTTTGTTTGTTTTTCAAGACTCAAGACAGGATTTCTCTGTAGCTTTGGATCTGGATCCTGTCTGGTACTTGCTCTGTAGACCAGGCTGGTCTCGAACTCACAGAGATCCACCTGTATCTGCCTCCCAAGTTCTAGGATTAAAGGTGTACATACCACCTTAAAAGTATGCACCACCACCTAAATTTTTTATTTAACTTACGGATACAAGCTAATTTTATTTTAAATGGTTTTAAAGTCAGTTTCTTCTTGAACTAACCAATAGAAATCGGACATATGTATGGTGCACAATAGGTTTTGTGTGTGTGTGTGTGTGTGTGTGTGTGTGTGTGCCTAGAGGGGTAGCTACATCATGCTAATTACATTATTGATTATTTTTAAAGATAACAAGAAAATGTTGAAAAAGCTTGCTGAAAACCCCAAATATGAAAATGAAAAACTCATCAAATTAAGAAACACTATATTGGAGCAATTTACAAAGTCAGAGGAAACATCTCGGGGCATTATTTTCACAAAAACGCGGCAGAGCACCTATGCCCTTTCCCAGTGGATTACGGAAAACGAAAAGCTCGCCGAAGTTGGTGTCAAAGCGCATCATCTGATTGGAGCAGGGCACAGCAGTGAAGTCAAGCCCATGACGCAGGTGCAGCAGCTTCTTGGAGTCTTTCCTTACCCATCGAATTGCTTGCGATGTTTCTCAATCCTTTCGCCATCTCAAACAGAATTCTAGGAGGCTCTTAATTTTTGAACTAATGGTAGGCTGTTGGCTGGTACTTGATGAGCTAAGGGTCATCTTTGAATTCACTTTTCATTTTTACACTCACGGGGATTTCTGAAGTTTGGTGCCTCTTGTAAAGAAGAGGAACTTTTACCTTGTCAACAGCGCAAAGAAATATTCACAATACAAAAATCAAGTGGGAATTCAAAGCTGCACAGAATGTGTGGGTTACAACCAAAACTGTACAGCAAATATTTGCAAAATAAAGCCTATAAGAACCTGGAGGAATTAACATACTGGCTGTGTTAGGGACAGGGTTTTGAGAAGGCTTCTGCTCCTTTGCTAGACTCTTAAAATGATATTATTTATTATGTGCACAGTAAAAGACATTTCTGAGAGAAAAAAAGATGCTTGTAAACAGTTTTTGTGTTTAAAAACTTGTCTTACCTGTTTAAATATTCTTCGGAAAGCTAACTTTCCCTTGGGTCTGACTTGGGGAGGAGATGCTTCAGTTCTGTGATAGAACATCACTGTTTCACATGGTGGAACAAAGAAAATCCATTTAGTGTTTAAGAGAAGAAAACTTGAAATTTCCCACCCTGACACTCACTACCTATGCACTCCCTGGTGGTAACTGATTTAAATCTAAGAGCTGCCAGCCCTACGGTCTCACCTTGTGAACTGGAGTGGACTCATCCATCCTGATAACAGTTAGGCACAAATTTGATCTGATGGCTTAGAGCCCTGAGCCTGGAATTTCGTATTCAAGTCCTCTTCGAAATGAAGGGACAGCTGTATGCTAAAATCAAAGACATGATTTTATTTTTAATCAATGGATGTGAAGGAAGAACGTAGAAGGTGCAAAGATTTGTCAGAGATGCTTCTGACATGTTCATCCACAGTGATGAGACAAATAGAAACTCACGTTGTCTTTTAAGAAGAAATGAAAGGGCGTAAGAGAACACGCACTTGGTCTAGGAGGTTAATTTTGCTTAGTTTATAAGGACAGAAGTGTGCGCTGATGCCAGAGGCTAGCAGCTTTGATGAGAGTTGTGAGAAAATGCACACCACAGACTGTCCACATCAGATGGGATTTACACCAAGCTCTTTCTCTGATGCCTAGGCCAGAGGTTGGATTTCAATAGGCTTATATTAACTTTCAAGGTTCACATTTTAAAAGATACTTATGGTGATCAGGCTGCAATCATATTGTCATCTGCTTTTAATTTATATTGTCTTTTGACTAGGCCTTATATTTACCCTGGTTAAAGTTAAATCTTCCTCAAAGTAAAATTAAAGAGTAGTGCTGCTTCCTACTGTTGAAGCTACCCTCTCTGGAGGCACCCGGTACTTTGACTTTCTTCTATATCCTTTCTGGACTGTTCTGTAGGTTTTTATGTTTGTTTTTTCTTGGATGATCCTTACAGTGACCAACTGTAATATACATGGGAAATTTTCTGTGTCCCCAAACAGATATAAACGGTTCAGTGATTTTTTTTTTTTGTCCCTAAATCTCAGACTCTGGGGTTGACGTACTGAAAGGTAAACCCTATTTTAGTCTGTCCCTGCCAAGCCTTTTCTAAGCCAGCAACACCTCTCCCCCTTTTCTTCCTCCCAAATCACCCATCAATTTATTTCCTTGGCATAAAGAATGCTCTTCCCACCTCCAGACTGCAGGATGGAAATATTTTTGTTATTGTGCGGTAATCCCAGATTGGAAATCAAATGTTGTCTCACCATCATGTCTTTGTTCATTGCCAAAAACAGATGGCAGCAAATCCACGCATGATCTAATCCTCTGATTTACACTGACCAGTTGCAATTTATGATTTCTTCTCCTAATTAGAAGATCTGAATGTGTTTAGCATCACAAAATTTAATTTATTAAAATGTTTCCACAGAATGAACAAAAAGAAGTCATTAGTAAATTTCGCACTGGAAAAATAAATCTGCTTATCGCTACCACAGTGGCAGAGGAAGGCCTGGATATCAAAGAATGCAATATCGTTATTCGCTATGGTCTCGTCACTAATGAAATAGCCATGGTCCAGGTATGCCCAGAGATTTGTACCTAGCATGTTTCTTCTCATTCCTGTGTGCCTGTATGGATTTCTCCCTTTTACTAAAACAATACAAAACCTCTGTTGTGATGAGGCTACTTGTTTGTTTCCCTGCCGATTGGCAGCTCAGACCCAAAATAATCACACAGAAACTATATTACTTAAAATACTGCTTGGTCCATTAGCTCTAGTTTCTTATTGGCTAACTCTTATATACTAATTTAACCCATTTCTGTTAATCTGTGGATCACTACACGGCAGTGACTTACTGGGTAAAGTTCCATTTGGCTCTGGCAGGGCTACATGGCTTCTCTCTGACTCCACCTTCTTCCTTTCAGCATTCAGTTTAGTTTTTCCCACCTAGCTAAGTTCTGCCTTGCTATAGGTCCAAAGCAGTTTCATTATTAATCACTGGTAATCACAGCACACAGAGGGAAATCCCACGTCACTCTTTAGCTTTAAGAATACAACTGTGCTTCTGCTAAAAGACCAATCTTAAAGAACTGCAAGCAAAGTCTTTTATATGACTGTTGTTTGTTGAACTACTATGGCAACCTCTTATAATTTAACAACCCTATTTTGGTTGCTGTTTCTATGTTCTGAGATTTTTCCAAGACCATGCATAAAATTGGTCCCATTACAAGACTCAAAAGAGGCCTCCTTAGTCTTAAGATGTCAGTGATTCCCTGGTGGAATCAGGAATCTGAACCACACTGTCCACAAATGTCTGACAAAGTAACCCACTCAGACCTCAGAGAGCCCAGCAGGTCTGTGTTGGCCTCCTTCAATCACTCAACTTTTCTATATATTTAGTTTCCTATAAAATCTTGAATGGGGTCAGTCAATAAATGACTAGTTCTCAGTTTGCATCCAAATTTCACAGCTCTCTTGCTCACCTATATTAACAATGTCATGGTACTTAAGATGAAGAAAATCCAGGACGTTATTCTTTAAACATGAAAGAGTTTCATTTCATCTTTTGGTGCATGACAAGTTATTGAAGATGAATGTCATTGGTCAGTTAGATTCTTTCAGGAAGCAATCTGTAAATCAGAGGTTTCTGACTATAATATCAAGGCAGTTTGCCCAGGAATAATATTATAGTTGACAGCCAAGCTCTTGAGCTAGGTAATAATAGCTTCTACTATTAAGAATGTGTCGATATCAACTCAGTGATCGATTGGATCTAGTGAGTTCCACTCTATCAGTGCTAGGTGGTTTATTCTCTGTTGGATGTTCAGATACCCATGCACTTATGGGGACACTAAGTGAATGGCCTTAGTGGTCATTAAAACTCAGGAAGAGTACATGAAGGTGGATGTTGGGGAAGTGGATATTGTCACATTTTGTTGTTTATACAAATGAAAAATTTAGAACAAAAAATTTGGTCTCTTTTTATGTGCATATTTTCCTGGAGAAATGTGTAAAGTCCAAAGTAGGTTGCCAGGAACAGTTCTGTGTGCTCAGAAGCCCTGGTGCCAAGGCCAGAAAAGCGCCTTGTCCTCATTCATCCTCCTTTTAAATAGATGGCTTCACTAGTCCAAGCCGCTGCTCAGGGTTTCCGCGGTTTATAACAGTTGCTCAGGATGCAGCAGAGCTATATGAGTGGTATATTATTGTGGCTTCTAAGAGTTGCCAAAACCATTCTAGAACATTGCATTAAAGGACATTTAAGTTTGAAAAAGTTTATCTACAAGCCATGGGTAATAACTACCTCTACTGAGACTAGAGAGATCATTTGCAGGCTTGATACCCACAAAGGCTATCTTCCCAGGAACAGCTTATAGCAAGATACATCATTTTTTTTTTCTTTGTTCATGTTCTCAGGCCCGCGGTCGAGCCAGAGCTGACGAAAGCACTTATGTCCTGGTCACCAGCAGTGGCTCGGGAGTTACTGAACGTGAGATTGTTAATGATTTCCGAGAGAAGATGATGTATAAAGCTATAAACCGTGTTCAGAATATGAAACCAGAGGACTATGCACATGAGGTATTGTTCTTGGCCACTGTTGAGTTTAGTTTTCATCTGAAAATGGCTACATTTGGTGGCCACTGATGTCTGTGTGGCTACTTCTCTAGACAGAAATTGTGCTGAGTTACCACCTCCTGTCTGAAGATTTGTTCTTAGTCCAGATTCACACAGAGCCCCAAGAACAATGGGAAGGCAGGAAATGATGAGGGAATTTTGATCATTGCAGGGAAACCAAACACCAACTTCAGTAATATAAATTTAGGCTGCCTTTTTCCAGAAAGACTTGTGCAACTCACTCATTCAAACCTACCTGGTAGTTTCAATCCATATGTACAAACACAATGCCTTTATTACAGAAATATGTATAAAATGGCTATTGTCTGCTAGGCAGTATTCTAGAAACAGAGAACATGGTGTCAAATAAAACATAATATCCTTGCTATATGTAGTAGGGATTCTAGTGTGTGCTTGGTGGGGGGGGGGGAGACAAACAATAAACACAAATTTCGCAGAGTTGTGCATATCATACACCAGTGAGCACTATGGCCTTAGAATAAGATTGTGTAGCCAGGCTTGATGGCTCATGTCTGTAATCACAGCATTCAGAAAGCTGAGGCACAAGGATGACCGCATGATTCTGAATGATTAAAATGTACGTAATATGTCATAAACTGAATCTCAATTTACTAACAGTTATTTGAATTGGGCAAAGGCACGCAGTGGGAAAAAAAGAATATATTTATACAATATTTCAGGAAACTTTCATACCACTGAAGTAAAGACTGTAACTCCTATAATAGCAAACAATCCATTTAGAAGAAAATTCACACCCTTGCATATGGGTGTGAATGTTAGTTTCTTAACATTAGAATTGGCTCTCCCCTAAATAGAGTTTTAGGGAGGGGTGCTTTCAAATTGGTGTGCAAAGTATGTAACCAACTCCAAGGTTTCCTGGCCAGGTTTTCATACAAACTTACATTTTAAAAACCCTTAAATATAAAGTAAACCAAACATTTTTTTCACTAAATGATCCTACAATAAAGTTATTCCCTCATATTTATGACTAAAGGCAATGACTTAGTGAGATTCTTATAAAAGCTGATGTTTTAAGACTAAGTGTTTAGGTGGATTCTAGGACACTCTATAATTCACAGGTCAGAGTCTCCCAATCCGTAGACTAAAACATTGTACTAGTTAGCCTTTCATTACTTTAAGAAATACCTGAGGTACACTGATTTATAATGTAAAGAGGTTTATGAGTTTGACTCAGAGTTCAATCCATAAGGTCTAAGAACAGGGAGGGTTCTGTAAGCCCTCACCCCTGATCTGTTATCACATTATGGCAGGAATGTATATGTATCTAAACTCTGTGTGCCTTCTCTGTCCTTACAAAGCCACAATAATTCAATGCTGTGGCTTCCACCCCTAACTCCTAATCCAAGATAATCTTTTCTCAAGGGCCCCATTTCTAAGCACACAACTAGATTAAGTTTCACTTCCCCCTAATACTATTATTAACACAAGACTTTGTGGGTTCAATTCATGCATGAATACAGAGGTGCCAGCAGTATTCAGATCATGACAAATGATCCATTTAGGGCCTTCAGAATGGACTGCCTTTCTCAGTATCCCTTGAGCAAGAGATCTGCCCTCTCAAGACTTCTCAGGTGGATGGAAGAGAAAGAGCAGTAATGAAGTGGTCTGTGTACAGGTGCTGTTACACTCAAAACCCCCAGAAAGAATTGCTGAGAGAGCAGCTTCACTCTCCCAATATTAGATGCTCTTCCAACATTAAATGCCTTTTCAGCATTGTATAGGCAACCACTGATCAAAAGTGAGAGTTGACACAAAAGACAAAGTCTGTTTTGCATGTCATAAAATGTCAGTGTAACATGAGGGGGCCCGGCTTGTTTGTGTTTTCTGTCCTGCCCGGTCCCCCAGCTGTTTAGTCCCAGAGAAAAATCACACTGCGATCTCTATAAGTTATAATGCTGATTGGCCCATTAGGTCAGGCTTCTTACTGGCTAATTCTCACATCTTGATTAACCCATTTTTCTGATCTATTTTAGCCATGTGGCTCAGTACCTTTTTCAGCTGGGGCAGATCACGTCCTGCTGCTTCTGTGATCTGGGAAGAAGTGCGAGGAATCAACTTCCTCTTCCCCAGAATTCTCCTGCTCTCCTTGCATCATTTCCACTTCCTGTCTGGTTTTCCCACATACACCTCCTGCCTGGCCAATCAGCGTTTATTTAAAACATGATTGACAGAATACAGACAATTCTCCTGCACCATGTCAGTCTTACTGATAAGTTAAAATTATATCAAACATCTAGAATGAACCCAAACATCACGCACCACTTGACCCAACACCTTTTACTCCTTCCTTCTATTGTATTTGGACTTAGGTAGACAATGACTACAGTAGAAGACTGAATACTAGATTCATCTGGTGCTGTTGTCTCTTCATTTTTATCTTCTAGAGTGCAATCTAAGATATGTAAATTTCAACTCGTTTATGCCTGTAAAACTAAGGAAAATATTTAATTCACTATTCTTGTCCCCACACAGATTATGAAATTACAGGTACAAAGTATCCTGGAAAAGAAAATGAAAACCAAAAGAAGTATTGCAAAGCAATACAATAACAATCCATCATTAATAACTCTACTCTGCAAAAATTGTAGTATGCTCGTCTGCTCGGGAAAAGACATCCATGTGATTGAGAAGATGCATCATGTCAACATAACACCGGAATTCAAGTGAGTGCAGCAAGACTCAGGTCTAGATTTCTTTAGCAGAGGTGAGGTTCGTAACATTGTAATCATTCTGCTTACACAGTGAGAGTGAGATTTCCTTTCTTTTCACAATTTTCCCCTTTTCTAATCCCTCTCATATAATCTGATCTCTTGAGTCTGTTTTGTAAATCATCGCCCTTGAGACAGGGAGTCAAGCTAAGACACAAAGCCCTTTTGATACAAGGCACTTAACTTGCAGATGTCCGTATCTGTTCTCAATTATTCTGAATGACTGAAAAGTAAAAATGACAGCAGACCTCAACGGAGACCCAGGGACAGTGTGACACTTGGGAGGAGTGTGTAGGATGGGGACATCCATCTATATTGTTACAAAAATCCCGGGGAACAAAAGACGAGAAAGAGCAAGGTACAAGATAACCCAGCCATGTTGGGTGATTGTTAGGTCCCATATGAGGAACCCATGACTGCATACTGTCATTTTGTCAAGTCTCACTGGTGCTTCTTCCTCTGGGACTGTTTTAGGAGTCTCTACATTGTCAGAGAAAACAAGGCACTGCAGAAGAAGTTTGCCGATTATCAAACGAATGGAGAGATTATCTGCAAGTGTGGCCAGGTGAGTAAACTAGTGGGTTCAGGTGTACTTTGGCCAAAAGGAATGGTAAATTGAATGGGCATTTGATTTCTCCTTTCTCTCTTGTTTTCTAGGCTTGGGGAACCATGATGGTACACAAAGGTTTAGATTTGCCTTGTCTCAAAATAAGGAATTTTGTAGTAGATTTCAAAAATGACTCATCAAAGAAACAATATAAGAAGTGGGTGGAATTGCCTATCAGATTTCCTGCTCTGGATTGCTCGGAATATTGCCTGTATAGTGATGAAGACTAGCTCTGGATTCATGATTAGTTTACAATGTCGCCAACTCAAAATTTAGTATGATTTTGATTGATGTTTTCATTACACTACCGAGCTAATACAAGAATATATAAATGATTGTTTTGTTTTGTTTTAACTTGTATAAAGAAAGAACACAATGCATACTCCTTACTGGTCGTAAATGTAACTGTTAATCTAAATTGTCAGTTTGATGAGCTCTGGCATCAGCTGGGAGATGGGCTTCTGGGGTTGCCTTGAAGGGATTGTCTTAACTTGATTAAGGTAGGAAGAACTGTCCACTGTGGACGGTCCCATTCTCCAGGCTTGGGTCCTGGACTGTATAAAACTGAGAAAACTAACTGAGGCTGCATTTTCACTTATAACTCTGCTTCAAGACTGTGGAATGCAGTATGACAAGCTACCCCAAGCTCCTGCTGCTGTGACATCCCCACAGGAATGGATTATTACCTCAAACTGGGCGTTACAAGAAATCCTTCCTTCGCACATTGCATCACTCAGGGCATGTTATCACAACAACGGGGAAAAAAGTAACTAAAACAAGAGGGATGAAGAAAATCTACCAACAATGCTCATTACTGTAGAGTATTACAGCATTGTGGAAAATACTGGAGTATAAGTGAGAAGAATCCAAGATACCAGTCTCAGCCAGTTCTGTCACGGGTTAATGTGGAATGTTATTTTATCTGGGCAAAAATGTATTACATTTGTTTATTCTGTGGAATATTATTTTAACTGTGTAAAGGTGTGTCACTTTGGTTTATGCTGCATTTGTTTAATTATGTAAAGCTGTGTCGTATTTTGCGTTTTGTGATTTTAAATATACCCATTTGTTAAAGCAGCTGTTGTGTAGGTCAAGCGTCTAGCTAGTTTCCACAGAAGACTGAAATCAAGGTTTCAGCCAGACCCTTCTCATCCACAGGCCTTGAAGAAAGAATCCACTTCCATGCTTACTCAGAATTTGCTTCCGTTTGACTGTCTGGTTAGGGTTTCTGTTTTCTTGCTACATTCCCCTAGGAATTGCTCTCATATCCCAGGAAGGCTTTATTCTGTGGCCTCTTCAGGAGTCCACCCTAACATAACTCATGTGTTTCTTCAGGGCCAGCAGGAGAAGCTCTCAAAACTGCTAAGGAATCTCACGTTACTTAACATGAGTAACAGGAACACAATACAGTGCGTTTTGAATTGGGCATCTTATTGATAGGCAGGTGTGCTAGGGAATCTCACATGTCAACTTGGTAAGATCTACAGTCATCTGGGATAAGGGCTCCTGGGCATGTTTATCTATCCCATTTGGCCAATAGGCCATGCCCACACTCAAAGCAAGGAGATGATTCAGGGTATCGTGATGAACTGACATGATTTTGGAAGGACTCTTGGAGGTCATTTTAGAATTTTGCCATCATACCATTTGTTTAGTTTGTGCTAATGTAATGCACATCTGTAGGCAAGCACTTTGACAAGGAGGAAGCACCATGAAGTAAACAGTCTTACTAAATGCAGCAGCAAGCAGTGTCGGGCTTGCTTCCTCAGCCTTCCCTTCTGCAACACGATGCCATACTGGAATGTGACCTCATTACAGAGTGCTGGCTAAACTGAGAGCAATTCTAATGCATGTAAGATTACCAATGCCCATGGACAGAGCAGCTTGTCAGTCCGCCCAGCCTTTACATGGAATTTAGCAGGGAACTGAGGTTGAAGGTTTAGGAAGGAATGAAGAGCAAAAGTTCCCCATATTCTGGCTGAAGAGTAAGAACCCTAGATGATGATGCAATAAATATGGCATTAGGGGCTGGAAACAGGGTCCCTTGTCTTCACACAGGGCCCGTAACCAGCAGAAATGGTACCTCTCCATTGTCGTAGGAGAGCTGTGATTGGAGCCCATAACTTGAACCAGTCATCTGAACTGACACCAAGAGTCGCAGACATGACTTGCTCCTCAGAAACAATTACCTCTTACGAAAAAGGGAATGAAGACAGAATCCTTTTGTGATTTTGATCCACTAGTTTAATTGCATATTAAGAAGGTATTTTGAATCTTTTATTGATAATACCTGAGCCAAGATGAATGCCTTAATCAGAGCTCTTGGGAATATAAATGCACAAAAAAAGAGTAAGTTTTCCTAAAATGCCTTAAAAATTCCATCTGACTATTTAAAGTATTTGTTTATTCTAAAATGTTTTGAAAACTATGCAAGAAACCAAATATCTCAGATATCTGAATGGATCACTGTAACATGCACAGTCTGTTTTTGAGGTATCAACAAATATTGGAGTTTCTTGTCAATGTCTTACCTTTTTTGTCAATAAAAAGAGATGCTTCTTTAAAGTTAAGGGAATATATTTCAGATACTATATAATTTAATGTGTGATTATACTTGGCAACTTGAACTATATAAAACATATTTTATTTTAAAAAAAACCACTATAATTAGTGTTGTATCTTGATTAATTATTACTGAATAGTGTAGACTCCTTAACATTGGTTAGCAGAATGTACCTGTGAGACGAAGCCATTAATCCCGGCTTGAGAATGCCTTAGTTTTAGTTCTTCAGTTGTTTGAATGCCTTTCAGAGACTTCATACCACACATCTGTGTTTCTTCTGGACTCTAAGTGGTTGGATTAAAGTTTCCTAACTACCCTAACATTTTCATGGTTTGTGATTATAGCTCCTTGTCCGTTCTAAAACATAGCCCATGAATGTGAAATGATTTCTTCAAAGCTTTTAGTACATGTCACAAGTAGGTGTTCAGAATAAGTGTGCTATGAAAGAAGTAGACATTTTCTTCTCTGTGATTCAATAGCCACTGCAGCAGGAAGTACTGCCTTGGACAAAACAAGTCAGCCCAGAAAGTATTGTTTACCACTCAACTGGCAAAGTCGAGGAAGAGTCCGAGTTCCTCTTGCTATTACAGCATTGAAGATGTGGGAGTCTCAAACACATTTCGGAGAAGTTACAGGAGAGAAATAAAGAGAAAGATAAATATTTACACTGCCCAAGATAAACCACCCACCGGGTACCTTTGACATGTTGTACCTACTTAAGGCTTCTGACTCGTTACTCTGATCCTTACTCAGATATGAAGTCATTCTTTGCAACTTCTGCAGCAGATGCCACTTATGAGTCTTCAAAAACAAAATCCAGATGTCACTTCCCAGAATTCAGCTGCATTTACATTTCCAGGACGGAAATGGAGTGAGCTTGCAAGGAAAGTATTGCTCACTCAACCCTTAGCACAAAATACTCCTGAAATTGGTAAACAAGTATATGAGTCAGAGCAATGAGCATAAAGCAAGACACAGACTTGATGCTGTTCCAAGAATTCTAAGAATTATGATGTTAATTAGAAACTTATTTTTTTGCCATATTTAGTCTTGCTAGATATGTCTTTGTTTTTGTACATAGAGTGTGTAATAAGATAAACTCAGATGTGACTCTTTACTAGTTTGGGGACTTTGAGAGTAAGCCACTAATGTCTTTGAGGTCAAAAGGAATAATAGCGACCTCGAAGAGCTATCCTGGAAACATAGGCACTGAATTGGACAATGCCAGCAGTTAGCATGTACAAGAAATAACCACAGAGCACAGTGGGCATCATTGAAAGAGCTGAAGCATCTGTAGTCATCAGTGATGTAAGAAGAGCAGAGTAATAGTGTGTATTAGATCTGCATTTAATCTTTAAGTAAAATGCATGCAGAATTGAAGCCTCTCCTATCTAGACTTGTCAAAGAGGGGCCATCCCAAGAAGTAGTTGTAATAAACATGATAGTTGTTAATATGCCCTCAGCTTGGCTAAAGGGAGGATTTAGCTTCTACGAGCAAAACACAAAGATCAATGTAAATACATCATTTTATCCATCTTTCAGATTTAACTAGCTCTATCCCAGAGTGATTTTAATTATGTTCGGTCTTCACCTAAAGAAATGATAGTAATGCCGTCTCTATGATTAAGTTAGGAACCACATGAAAACAAGCAACTAAGGTGCCATTAGTAATTCTTGTATAGCACAGTTTATAGTTGCTGTTTGTGTATAAGTCCTTAAACTTTTTCTCAGATTCTAAGAAGCAAAATATGAAATATGGATCCTTCTCCAGGGTTTAACCTGGTGAGTCTGACTGGTCCTCCCCATCCCTCACATCGGTTCCAACCCCCGCAGTACCAAACTCCAGGCCTGGACCAGGAATCCAACACCAAATGGTCAGTCCTAAAGATACACATGGAAGTAAAATTATGCAGATTGGACAGGTTGAATTTATATATTTTGGAATACACATAGACATAACAACAATTTAAGAGGGGAAAGGCCATACATTTGAAAGAGAATGATGATGACATGGAAGGAGTTGGAGGAGGGAGGGGTGGATGTAACGATATTATAATCTCAGAATAAAACATTATTAAAAATATGAAGGGCTGAGCAGTGGTGGCACGTGCCTTTAATCCCAGCACTCGGGAGGCAGAGGCAGATGGATCTCTGTGAGTTCGGGGCCAGCCTGATCTGCAAGAGCTAGTTCCAGGACTTGCTCCAATGCTACAGAGAAACCCAGTCTCAAAAAAAAAAACAAACATATATATGAAATATGGAAATGTTGTAGATATTCTTTGCAATATTTAGAAAAATTCTGCAGCATAATACCAAGTCTTTCCTTTCATAGGTGTAATTTCATGAGCATGTCATTTGAAGATAAAATGTAGATGGAGGTTAGCTCTATTTATTACTTCATACGTTTCAAATACAGTTAAAGCCAAGATCCTGAACAGGCCCAGGGGAAGAAGATCGATCATAGAAAGTAATATTAAACAATGTAGCTAAGAATATACTGGGGTATAATGTGGCTTGAGCATATTTTTTATATTTTAGTTATCTTATACAAATGTTAAAAATGGAATTTCTTTGATAAGCATGAAGGGAGATTCAAGTGATTCATCTGGTTATAAAAATATAAAAATACTAACCAAAGACGATCTCTCTGTCAACATCAATGACTCCTTTCCCACCCATCTCCCACTGTCCTTGGTGAACTTGCACGTGTTCCATCCTGCGTGACTAGGTTTCTGGATGGCTTGTTCTTTCGTTTTGAACAACTAAGCAAGCCATGAATATTATATCATATTTATCAAACTCTGAGAATTTTTAGAATACTAAAGTGACTCCAATATTTGATTTAGAGTTATCTTAAGCTATTTTCCCACATTAGACCAATGTCAATCTAGCAGTACATTAAGGTAAAGTTTAGAAGAGAAATTACTGTTTTCCTTTGAATTTGACCCTGGTTTAAATTTACAAGGTTTTCCTTTGATAATTTGTGGTAAGTTTGTGTTGAATTTAAAATTAAAACTTTTTTAAAAATAAAGAATATATCTCACTTGATAAGTGAATCCTAAATCTCTCTCTAAAATGTTAATATTTTATGTAAATTCTAAGCAGATTTACAAACACACACACACACACATTAAATGTCACTACCTCATGGGGAAAAAAAATTCACACAATAGCCTGTAAGCTTTGTAATAAATATCTTCATTGTTTTCTTTTTATAATTTGTTTTAAGATAAAATGTAAAATTGGAATAATCAAAATTAGTATTTTAAAATGTTTTACTCTGAGGAAAAGGTTGATTATGTTTCATACCTAAGACAAAAACAATAAATAAACAAAGAAGAGAATAAACATAAAAATAAGATATTGGCAGAAAGATAGAAATATATGCACATTAAGACAAGTTTCAAAGTGGGAAAGAAAAGAAGACAAATTTAGCTGAAGAAGCTATACCTAATGAATACTTCTTCCTGTATTTAGTCAGCAAACATACTTAATGAATCAGAACAATTAGGACCGCAGTTTTAGATAAAGAATAACGAATAAGAATATTTTCTCTATTGCTTTAAATATTTGTTTAGAGAGTGACTAAGTATTTAAGAATCAATAAAGGCTAGATTATTAATGCAGTGAGAAAGTTTATACTAAAGAAAGCTGGAGGAAAGAAAATCTTTTCAGAGTTTGCAGAGATTCTTCAATGTCCTCAAAGGTGTTACCGTATTTGAGGTTGAAAGTGTTAAGGACTGGTACCTTGCAAATAAGGAGAGATCTGTTGCAACCCACTAAAAGGTAATGTGCTATCAGTTATTATCCCTTGGAAAAGCAAAATTCATTCAGAGCACATTCAAGGCAAACACATTTCTGCTTTGATGACTGTGATTGCTGAGAGGTTTGTTAGAGTTGGTAATATGTAGATAAAAATGTTTGTTGAAAGGATATTACTAGACTTTGCTTATCTAGGTAACTACAAATACCTTAAGCTAATATTAATGAGATTCGGCTCTCTGAGTGGTTGAGAAAAGAAAACCTAATGAGCGAGGATGTGGAAATCTGCTGTAGCAGAGATCATGATTCTCTGAGTGGAAAAAAAATGGGAGGAATAGCACATGTCTCTATTTTGATCACATCCCTTCTCCTTCAAAATTGCCTTGCGAACAATCCTATTTTCCTCAAATTCTTCTAGACAGCGTCTTAGTAACAGGCCATTAGAGTCAGCTGCCCAGGTTAAAGTCATTCCTGTCTACCCATTCTGGAGAAATGAGTGCTCAGAATGTCAGAATGCACTCTGAAGCCAGAGTGGCGGATGGGAGATTCAGTGTTGGAGGCATGTACATCTTCATGAGACCTTTGTTCACAAAATGCAGTGATTGGAATCAAAGAATTCTTTAAAATTCATATATGTTTTACGATGCATTCCCAGCTGGCTGAATTATGTGAATGGGTCTAGTAGATAGTCCTCAGTGAAAGTAAACAGGAAGCTGAGCTAACTGACGTAGGAAGCATAGATGACAGTCAAAGGCATTTGCGTGAAAGAGAAAAAGAGAGATGAAAAGAGAGTCTTAACAATGGGTCCAAAACTTAAGCTGTTTTCCGGCTGGGAAATGAGTCAGGAAGCAATAAACTGTTTAAAACACAGAAGGAAAGAGGCTTCTTGAGAGATGGAAGAGGATGGCCACCTAAGTAAAGAGATAGTCCAAGGCTGGACAAATTGGGTAGCTAAATATACACCTTAAAGTTAAGGTACTAATCCAGCCGTGGGATTAATTCTGTTGTCATCCGCCACTAGGCTGTCTTCTAAGATTAGAAGATGAATGTGGAGACCTAGAGAAATCAGTCGTGACTTTTAAATCTGCTTTGATGAATTCATAAATAGCTCCTCAGAAACTCAGACTACTGTGGAGAAATGTGGTTAGTTGAATCAGAAATAGCAAACATAGAAATAATTGTTCAGTAAACACGTGCAGTATATGAGGCTCAGTTCTGGGATATCTGTGTACTCTAGAAGCTTTTAGAAGATGGAAATTGTAGTTTGAGCCTATAGCTGCCGGCAGGAAGACCTTCTTGAGTGAAATTAAATACAGCTTAAAAAAACCCATTAAACAACAAACAACAACAACAACAAAAAAACCAAAACAGAACAACAATAATAAAACTTTTCAATGCTACCGTCAGTTTGACCAAGTTTGACCCAGTGAGGTTGAGTCCTTCTCAATATGCAAATATATTTGGGAGAACTCAATATCAACAGCCAAGTTAATTAAAAACTAACTTAAACATTTACTTCTGGTGTGCAGAAAAAGCAGGATACTTACATATCACACAAATGTTTTAATTCCTTTGAATTTTTTTTCCCAAAAGAACCATTCACTTTTTCATGAGCTGATATACCATCTCTATTTTTCTCAAAATCCTTTAAGATTATCTCCCTCAGATCACCTGGTATTATTTTTCTCTTCCTGATCCTTTCAGCCAGGATGTTTTTTTGTTGTTTGTTTGTTTGTTTTTGTTTT